AAAAAAAAAAAAAAAAAAAAAAAAAAAAAAACAGGGATCAAACTGAGGACCTTGTGCTCACATGGCAGCCAGCAGAACCACTGAGCTAAACGCCCAGCCCAATTATAGATTTTCTGATACTGAGTTATCCTGACAGTCCTGAGGTAAACAGCACTTGGTTACAATGCATGTGTTTTAATGATTAGATTGGGCTACCTAGTATTTTTAAATTGTGAATAACCATTCATAAACAAAATTTTTTTCCAATTTTATCTGGTTTTAGAAATGCTAGCCTGAAAAATCCATTTTGCCAGTTATTAAGATTGCTACCCTGTCTTTTTCATCCTACCTGTCCGGTATTGTCTTCTTGTACTGAGTCATAATCACATACCATAAATTACACACATTTAAAGTGTGGTGGGGTGGGATGGGAAAAGGTTAATCAAGGGGTACTCAATTGTGATTAGGAGTACAAAGTTCTGGAGTGCTACTGCAGTGGGATAACCATAGATCATGATAATATACCAGAAGAAAGGACTTTGAAAGTTTTCACCTTAAGATGACAAATGTTTGAGGACAGATGTTTACTCAGACTTTGACATTAATGTACACACATATGGAGTCGGCACAAGGGCATGGTACCCCGCAAATGTACAACTTCTTTGTACAGTTCTCTATCAGTTAAAAATATAAACAAGGGCCAGGGATTTAGCTCAGTGGCATTGTGCCAGCCCTGCAAGTGCAAGATCCTGCGTTTGATCCCCAATACCAAAAAAAAAAAAAAAAAAAAAAAAAAAAAAGTAAACATTTTAGAAAGTGTACAATTCAGATTTCTAGTATAATCAGAGTTGTGCAACCATCACCACGGTGCATCACAGAACACGTTCTTTACCTCCAAAAAGGATCTCACACCTTTCCGCTACCACTAACCCTCCCATCCTCTACCACTTCTCAGCAACCATCAACGTGTGCTTTCTTCATAGACTGTACTATTCTTGGCTTTGCATACAAAGGGAATCATACAATACGTGGTCTTTTCAACAGTACTCATCATGGTCTCAAGATTCATCTAAATCATAGCAGGTATAAATATTCCCTTCTTTTTGTAGCTAATAGCTCATGAACGAATCATCACATTTTATCCATCTACTGATACACATTTAGATGGACTCCACCTGTGACCTTTTATGAACAACACTCCATATGTCCCACAATTCTTCTGGCTTTTTCCAACTATGTATGCGACAACCATTCACACTTTAGAGGACACACAAAAGGGTGTGGTTCGGTGACAGTGCACTCGACCCCCAGCACCACTAAAGAAAGAACTACATATTTTAAATACATTGAAGTGACTTTCCTACTACAGTCTCAGGTGAGTTAAACTGGTTCATAGCCTAAACATAAGCTTCATTCAATAGAAAAATAAAATTTTCCTACTGGCGCACATCCAAAGATATAAGTATTAACATCTAAAGAGAAATATTAAAGATTCCAAAGCAACATGTTTTGTTGTTTTGTTTTTTGTTTTTTTTGAGATAAGGTCTTACTGTGTAGTTCAGACTGTCCTCACTATGTAGCCCAAGCTGGTCTCGAACTTGCACTGATCCTCCTGGTTCAGCCTCCCGAGTGTTGGGATTACAACGCCTGTGCCACCACACCTCGCTACTCTTACTTTTTAAGTATAAGAAAAGATACCAAATCTTCAAAAAATTAAATTTTATTGAGATTCTTTGCAGAAATATTTTTAAATGACAAAATTAGCAGTAAACAAAACTTCAATTATGGATGAAATATCACAGAAAATTTTATCACAAAACATTGTAGAAAGGATATTTTGAAAGAAAGAATAGTCCTTTTATATTTTGAGTGTCAACATATAGCAAGATAATTTCATCAGCAAGACACTTGTTTACTGTTTAACTCACAAGTAAATAGTATTAAACCACAGATACAAATACTAAATACAGGGTCGGGGATTTAGCTCAGTGGTTCGGTGGCCTGCCTCGCAAGCACAAGGACCTGAGTTCGATCCCCAGTACCAAAAAAAAATTTAAAAAAACAAAAACCAAAAACCCTAAATATCTTTCTCTCATTTTATGAATGCCTATATATTTTCAAAGAAAATTTAATTTTACCTACTCACATGAATATTTACATTTAAATTCTCTTTTTTTGGTACCGGGGATTGAACTCGGGTCCTTGCGCTTGCAAGGCAGGCCACCGAACCACTGAGCTAAATCCCTGGCCCTACATTTAAATTCTCTAAAGTAATGTTAGGGGTATTAAGCAGCCATAAACTCCTTAAATAAAGATAAGCCTGATCTGATTCTATAAAAGAATGAAGAAAATTTAGAGCTTGAAAGAAAATCCAAATTTTACTCTCTACTTTTAGAGTCCTTATCAGTGCTTTTATTTTTTTAATTGCTAAGATTTTAATTAACAAATTTAAAAAACTACTTTTTCTTTTTGTTGTTTTTGAGACAGGGTCTCTCGCTACGTAGTTCAGGCTGGTCTTGAACTCACTGTGTAGCCAGCCCAGGCTGGCCCCCCACCTCAGCTTCCCAATGCTGAAATCACAGGCTTGCACCACCATGCCTGGCTAAAACATCTACAGACTTTACTTTTTCCTCTTTTTTTTTTTTAACATCACTCTTTTCTTTATCTTTATCTGTCATCTTTTCTATCCTTTGTGCTCTCTTCTTTTTCCTGCCCTTTCTGCTTCTCCACGTCCTGGTTGGCTATCCTGTTGTTGGAGGTTGTGCACGGTGACCTTGGAGCAGATTAGAGGCCAAGTACACCAGCACCCTCTGGTCATTGATTGGTCTTCAGGTAAAAGGCCTCGATGAACTCCTGCAGGCTGACGTCGGGCAGCAGGTTGAACACAACCTGCAGCTGGAAGATGATCTGGTGGCTGACAGGCAGCCTGCCTGTGGCTACTTTTTCCAGGGAGCTCTGGATATCCAGCAGCTTGGAGCTCAGTCCCTTCAAACCACGGACCTGGTTAGTGATCGGCTGGGAGTGTCCACGGTAGTGTCTTTGATGTCATGTAACAAGTGCTCCACTCCTCCGCTCCAATCCACTGGTCATGTGTTGAAATGTTTTCGAGGATGGAGTCCCATCATCCCTCCACGGAAATGTACGTTTCTGTGGGCAGCCCTAAGTCCCTTGGCTTCACATCCATGATTACCAACACTGAGTCAGGGCAGTATGTATTCATGAGTTCATTGATGGTGATGCCATTCTTATGTAGTTTTGGGCCTATGTGTAGCACCACACTATTCTTTCTTAAACATTCCATACATGTTTTCCCAATGATCACGGTCTAAAAACCAGACAGTCATCTTTGTCATCTTCATCAAAAGGGATGCAAAACTGTTGGATACATTAAGTACTTTCTTTTGTCATGATCCCAAAAGCACGCCAACAAGCTTCCGGTTTCCAACCTCGCCAATCCAGCTGAAATGATCAACCACACTAAGCAGAACCAGGGTGGACCAGCACCTACTGCACCAGTTCCTGCATTTCAAGACAACCTGCCCTTCGGGCACCGGCTCCAGTAACCGCGAAACAGAGCTATTTCTTTAAACACAACATTCTGTGACTGAACACATGGGCTGAAAATATAAGGCATGTAGTTTTACTTTCAATTCACTGGTTTTTATACTCAACCGACAGCTTTAAAAATATTTTAGAAGCTGGGTGTAATCCCAGTGCTCGGGAAGCTAAGACAAAAGGACGACCTCGAGTTTGAGGCCAGCCTGAAGTTCATAGTGAGTGCAAGGTCAGTGAAATCCCGTCTCAAAAAAACAAAACAAAAGGAAAGACTACATAGACCTAAATTAAACAATTTCCAAAATTTGTCCAGAACTGCTAGCTAACTTACTTGTTTTAACCTACAAGCTTTAAACACATCTACCAGAAGTAGTACACCAGAAAATTTACTTGAGATTATAAAGCCTCTGAAGTAAACTTTTTATTTTTGGTACCGGGGATCGAACTTGGGACTTTGTGCCCGCAAAGCAGGTGGCAGAACCACTAGCTAAATCCCCAGTCCCTGAAGTAAACTTTTAATGCTGTATAACATCACTGTTTTTTCCTTCTCTTGTAAGAGTTGTTACTATCAATGGGTACTTGCTGGCACTTGGAGAATGCTCTTTTCGTGCTATCTTTCAATGTGTTCTCTCCAGCTCCTGATTTCCAAAGTACCAAACGTGCATCTTCTCCTCCTGTCAGCAAAGAATCATCCTGCACATCCCAACAGAAAGAACGAACCGTGGCAGTGTGTCCTCTCTTGAGGCTGCTCACGGGGGTTAGTCCTGACGGGGTGCAGGTCATTAAGTCAATCCTCCCTGTGTGTGTTCCTCCAATAACAAATAATCTGTCCATCTTTTCATGATATAAGCCTCCAATCAAATAATCCAAACGATCTTCCTTCATGTTAACTATTTCTCTGATGTTCTTGATGTTCAAACGTGTAAATGGCTCCTCAGTATCTAAATGATTAAGATCCCACCAACAAAATCCTTCGTCATGTGTCATGCAGTAAATCTGCTTATAATCTCTCCCAGACCAACCAATGCAGCTCACCGAGGAAGCTGAGTTACACGTTGTCACCAGTGCACGTTCTTCATCATCGGCACTGATATCAAACACGTTTACCAGGCCATCAGTGGAACCTGTGACGATCATGTTGGGATTGCTGGGATGGAAACACACTTGTGTGATGTCATCACTATGGGTCTCTGAGTATGCACCAAGTGGGTCTCTAGTAGTGGACAGAGCCTCAGAACTAACTCTCGCATCCCAAAATACCAACAACGTATCTTCGCCAACTTTTTCTGTACCAGCACAAACAACATGATCATTACAGCTGATATCAAAACTAATAAAAAGATTAGAAGGGTAACCCTTGAACAGCTGAACAGGCTTTCCACCGGCTAATCGAGCATCCCACCGTTTTACAGTGCCATCAGTGCTTGCTGAATATACACTGTCACAGGAATTTGAAAATTTGACTCCACTGAGAAGTCCAGGATGTCCACTAACTTCTCGCAGCACATTTAATGTCTCTTTATCATATATTCTTATTGATGAATTAGAACATAGGACAGCAACCAAACTTGCTCTTTCTGCCTGTACAGTCTTTGATGTGTGTATGCCAAGTAAGTAAGTGGGTTCTTTTGGTTTTGAGGAACATTTAACAATACGCAGATTTGCAATGCATTCCTCGATCTTCTCCATATGAACAGTAGCATCCATCCAAGCACTAACCAGGCCCAACTCTGCTTAGCTTCTGGGATCAGACGAGCACGCTCTGGGTGCTATGGCCATAGGTAACAGCAGCATTCAAAGGTAGGAAAATTCTGTAATAAAAGTAGAAAAACTAAAATTAAAGTTGAATATTCTCCAAAATGGCAATTACGTTTTTAAAAATCTAGCATAAAATATGTATCAAAGGCACAGAGAGGACAGACCACCCAGACGGGCTCTGAGTAACAAGGCTGTTTACTTCACTCAGGTGTGAACAGGTTGAATAAAAAAGTCAGCATGTGGAAGGCGGGACAAAGATTTAAAGGGGAAGTGGTTGCCAGGCGTTGGTCCGAAGAGTTACCGCCTTGAGGAGTCCGAGGTCAAAGATAGTGTGGCCTCCACCCTCAGAAAGGGCAGCAGTTTGGAATTTCAGGAACCAAAGACAGTGCAGCTGTATGTGGACTTCCTGGAACTGAGACTGAAGGGCTGACACGTGGTGCTCCGCAATGGCCCTACCCACTGGGCCCGACATTCCTCTTTACTACTATAAAAAAGAACATCAGAGAGGTGTTTCTCACGGCTGCTTCATGAGGGACACGCGGGGCACGGACATCTTCATCAGTGGAGGGTCTTGAGGGATGATGGGAAGATACGGAAGTGGTGGTCAGAGCAAGCGCCTGTCGTACTGAACGACCGGCGATACCCTGGACTTGACTGGGTAGGACATCGGAGACAGCCTGGAGGAGGCGTGTCGCAGAGTGAGAGGAGAATACGGACAGAGAGCCCCAGCCCCAAATACCAGTCCAAGAGCCGGATGTGTGTTGCCAAATTTCTAAGGCCCTTTCAGTCATCCTTTTGCTACATTTACACGATGCCTGACTGACTGACACAGAAGCAGCACTTTTCTCCCTGAAAGATGCACGGGCTGCTTTTTCAGCTGCGAGAAAACCTAGGCCCCTAGGATTTTGGAGTTATTGCTGGCAAGGAGTCTGTCTGGGTTTCTGCGATGTGAGAATGGAATCAGCTATTTCTTTTGAGGCTGTCAGAGATCTTGGGATAAGGAGGTAATAAGACCTGCTATTCCTGTCCCTGCGGCAGTAGTAATACCCAGACTGTCAAGCAGGGGTATTCGTTGTAGGGTCCTATGTTGTTGAATTTGGGCTCTAATGGTGACAGCAAGGCTCTGGCTTCCTGGGGTGATGTCTATTTTGGAGCTGAGGCGTGCCAGCCTACAGATGCTGCTGGCCCAGTTAGTGGGTTGGCACAAATAGGTGGAAGACCCGCAAAGGAAAAGAAGAGCTTGGCTGGGTAAGCGGAAGTGGTTACTTAATGTGTATGTTTTGGTTCTCTTTTTCCCAGGCATCCAGAGTAGTACGTTAAAAGGCAGTGCACATCAGAGCTGGAAGGGCCCCTGGAGGAGGATGCAGCTGGCATTTAGTGTTTTTTCCTCCTTTTGGAGGAACAATCTTTTGTATCTATTAAAAAAGCCACTGTGGGGCCAGAGATTTAGCTCAGTGGTTCTGCTGCCTGCCTCGCAAGCACAAAGTCCCGGGTTCGATCCCCAGTACCAAAACAAAAACCAAAAAAAAACCCCACTGCGAGGAGTGGTTAAAGGTAGGCAAGAGAAGGCACTCTGAGCAAGGGGTCTGTGGTCGTATGGTCATGTACAGGAAGTGGCGGTCATTACAGAAATCTGACTGTTTATTGAGCAACGATGTTCTCAAGACCTCAGGAGCACTGGAAAAGCAGATAGGTTCAGTGAATGGGGAATCTGGGCAACTTGGTGATTAGCATGGTCGGCTAAGGCCATAACAGTTGTATAATAGGCCTGAGGATCAGTGGAACAGACTGGAAGACACAAAAACAAATGCAGATGTACTCAGCTACCTCATCTTTGACAAAGGAGCTGACCATCCTCAGTGGAGGGAAGATAGCCTCTTTAATAAATAGTGTTGGAAAAACTGGATGTCAACCTGCTACAGATTAAAATTAGACCCTTATCTTTCACCATGCACTAAATTAAAATCCAAATGGATTAAAGATCTAAATATTAAAACAGAAACATTAAACTTGCTGGAAGGTAAGTTAGGCAGAACTCTGGAAGACATTGGTATAGGAAAAGACTTTATGAACAAGTCCTCAGTAGCACGGGAACTAGCAGATAGAATCAACAACTGGGATCTCATCTTACTAAAAAGCTTCTGTACTTCAAAAGAAACCACCAACAGAGCTAAGAGACAGCCTACAATGTGGGAAAAAATTTTTACCAGCTGTTCCTCAAAGGTCTACTATCTAGAATATATAAAGAACTCAAAAATCAGAACCCCCAAATATAAAGACCCAATTAAAAAACAGGCATCTGAAATGAACAGACATTTCTCAGACAAAGAAGTAAAAGCATCAAGTAAATATATGAAAAAATGTTCCACATCACTGGTCACTGGAGAGATGCAGATGAAAACAACACTGAGATTTCATCTCACCCCACAATGAATGGCTGCTATCAAGAAATTAATAAATAACAAATGTTGCAGGGGTTGTGGGGAGAAAGGAGCCCTTCTCCACTGTTGGTGGGAGTGCAGACTGGTGCAAACACTATGGAAATCAATATGGAGATACCTCAAAGAGCTGGGACTAGGGGTTCCATTTGACCCAGCAATCCCTCTGATGGGTATCTTGCCAAAAGAACTAAAAGAATCATACCACAGTGATATATGTGCACCTATGATTATAGCGGCACAGTTTGTAATAGCTAAAACTTGGAAACAGCCCATTTGCCCACCAGTTGGAAACTGGATAAAGAAGATGTGTTTTTTCTATAAAATGGAATACTACTCAGTCATAAAGAATGAGAAACTAGGGCCAGGGATTTAGCTCAGTGGTTCTCCTGCCTGCCTTATAAGCCCATGGACCTAAGTTAAAAAAAAAAAAAAAAAAATTCAAGGCCAGCCTAGGAAACTCAAGACAGACCATGTCTGAAAATAAAGAAAGACAAAGGGTTGGAGATATAGTCCAGTTTACAGGGCCCATGTGGGTTGGATCCTCAGTGCCACCAATAAAATAAAATAAAGAAAAGAAAACAGTGCCTTAAGAGTTCTAAGAGCAATAGATGAAACAGAATTTTGCATGCATCTCCGTGTTTTGCCAGGAAGGAGCTCTGTTCATAGAAATTAGTAAAAGAATGAGATTCTTTATAAAAGTACTTTAAAGCCCAAAGGCAATATAGACAATTTATATTTATGAAGAAAACACATGAACTAATGTGATTCTCACAAACTATTCAAATATATCCTAAAACGTGAATTTAACAAGAACTTTCTGCCTATATGATGCAAAAAAACCTTTTCAGTTCTAGGTAAAATAAATGCCCGTCCTCGAACTATTCAAAGTGTTCCTATGGATTACAAAAGAGAAAACTCTATCTAAAAAATATTTTTTGTGTGTCTTGTTGCCTAATTCAGGTTGGCTATGTACCAACTGTGCAGCCCAGGCTGATCTAGAACTCACAGTGATCCTCCTGCCTTGGCCTCCTAAGTGCTGGGATTAAAGGCGTGCACTTCCATGCCCAGCAAGAAATAGTTCTTTAGTATAAATTCATACTGATCTCCGCATATAAAAGATCAGATGGATAAAAAACAACTGAAAAGTTTAATGTGAATTTTTTTTGGGGGGGGTGGTTACTGGGGATTGAACTCAGGTCCCTACGCTTGGGTCCTTGTGCTTGCAAGGCAGACCACTGAACCGCTGAGCTAAATCCCTGGCCCTTAATGTGAATTTTGAGCTAATAATAATTTACGAGACTAGGATTACCCATGCCATACCCAGGCAGCAGGACAAGAGTCCTTCACTTGGAAACCCACACCTGTAAAGCTTCAATTCAAGGGATTCTGAGGCAAAGAGAAAGAAAGAAAAAGTCAGGCGTGGTGATGAATGCCTGCAGGCCCAGCATTTGGAAGACTGAGCAGGAGGACTGTAGGAGTTCCAGGCCAGCCTGAATTACATAGCAAGACCATGCCTCAGGAAAAAAAAAAAAAAAAAAAAAAAAGGCCTTACTACTAACAGCGTATGTTGGTGCACACCTGCCATCTAAGCACGCTGGGAAACCGAGACAGCAGGGTCACAAGTTCAACCCCAGAACCACAGAAAGGAAAAGAGTTGACTACTAATAAACCAGGCCTGGTGGTGCATACCTGTAAATACTAGCACTTGGGAGGCTCTGGCAGATCTCATATTCAAGGTCAGCCTGAAATACACAGTGAATGAAAGCTGTCTCAAATAAATGAATGAACAAATGAAAAAGAAAAGAGTTGACTACTTAACAGCAAAAATCAGTAAACCTAAGCAGAAACTCCTTTGAGTTTTTGCCTTAATAAAATTATTTTTTATAAATCTATTTCATTTTATCTCCTATTAAAATAAACCCAATAAAATGTTCTTCTTAGCTGGGCACGGTGGCACATGCCTATAATCCTGGCACTCAGGAGGCTGAAGGAGGAGATCCCTGCAAGTTATAGGCCAGCCTAAACTATATAGAAAGACCGTCTAAAAAACAAAAACAAAAACAAAACTTCCTAATTATAAAGTGTATCTTAAACATAGCTGCAATTGTGAATTGCTTATTCCTTAATTGGCTCAGTTTGGATATGAAATTTGAGAGGCTAGCACAAATAATTTCATAAAAGTAAACAAAAAAGTATTAAGAGAACATAAATATTTCATATCTGTTCAAAAACTACTGATTACAAAAGGTACTATAGGGGCCGGGGATTTAGCTCAGTGGTTCTACCACCTGCCTTGCAAACACAAGGTCTCGAGTTCAATCCCCGGTACCAAAGGAAAAAAAAAAAAAAAAGTACTGCAGAATAATTTTGTGTGAAAGAAAAAGCAACAGTACCATGTGGCATGGTGGCACCTGCAATCCCAGCTACTCAAGAGGCTGAGAGGATTACAAATTCATGGACAGCCTGGGCAACTAGGGCATCTGTCCCAAAATAAAAATTGTAAGAGTACATAAAAAGGCCAGGCGTGGTGTCACACACCTGTAATCCCAATACTTGGGAGCCTGAGGCAAGAGGATTACTGTAAATTCAAGGCCAGCCTGGGCTACAAAGTG